GACATACATTGGACTATGTGTGCTGTCTGGGCATAGACGAATTTTTTGAAATAGTACTTATTTAAGTATGCACTAATATTTCCAAAATCAACTCCAGTATGATTCATTCAATAAATGTAAATATGAATGGGCAAAACATCTTTATATTGACATAATTGTACCTTACAATTTAGCCATAATAAAGGGATTTCGTCCATTTTAACCAATCCTAATTGAAACACGCGGATTTATTATATTTTTTTAAATATAATTTCAAAATAAAATAAATAAAATTTCCAGTTCATTGTTTATTAAATTTATTTAAAAGAAGAAAACATAAAATGTCAAAAATGATTAAATCATTATACTTAATATTTATGCATGTGATAAAATTCTTAGTTTCCTAATAACTTTTTAGGCACATTTTATATCTGCATTAGAATACCTAAGTGTAAAAATCTTCATCTTATTACTACACAAAACAAACACCAAAAAATACTTAACATTGCTCACGTACTAAACACAACTTGGACTGACTTTGACAGATAACATAATTTTGAGTGATACACAACTTATTTTCGCACATGCGCGTTACAAAACGGTACACTAAAAACACCAAGCTGTCGGTTCTCCTTGATCGTTATTCTCGGGTATGACTTTCGGGTTTTCTAATGCCCAGATACGACAATTTTGTTTGTTAACAAATCCGTTCAATGCAAAATGGGCTTCATCACTCATTATTATTTTTTCGACAAAAATCGTTCGTTTGGTTGTTAAGCTGCAAAATTGCGTAACTGTATTGACGGCGACTTTCGTGATCTCTAGGCTGTAGCTCTTGGGTTAACTGAATTTTGTTCTTTTTTAAAATAGTCCATAATGACGAATGCCCAGTTCTTGAGGGTCTCAGGGCGATCCAATACACTTTCACGCACTTCGGGGTACGAACAGTTCGAACGCGACCGAAGTTTTCAACTTCACCGGTTTGTTCAAATTTCCGAACTAATTGACGAATGGCGTTGATACTGGGCACATTATTTCGACCAAACTCTTGTTGTAGATTCCGTATAGTGGCAATACGAGTCAGTATTTAAATAAAACGTTTTAACAATACGAACGCGTTGTAGAATCGTGTAGCGTTCCATGATGATTTTGATACATGTGCTTTAAACAACTACTAAAGCGCCATCTACGGAAATGCGTGCATAAAAAATGGCGCGCTATTAAAATCAGTCAGTTATATACTGGCCACCCAGTATTACTAGGACAATTAGAAACTCCGACCTAGCCCACTATTCCTTAGTTAAGATAGGGTTCAACTATACTTTTGTTTTCTGTTTTAAGTTGAGTATTTTACATATTTCTTTGAATTTAAATAGCATGTAACGTAACTTTTTAAAAGGGTCTCTTGATCCCATCTCAAATTATGATCATAATACCAAAGTAGGTACTTCACTTGGCTAACAGGGGAGATTGTAAGATTTTCAATACCTAGTTAAATCTTAATTAATTTGGCAGAACATCAACGTAGAAACTGAATGGTAACTATACAGTTTTTTGTTTATGTTTAGTGTCAAAAGTTTATTATTTAACGACATCTTAACATGTAAATTATTCTCTAATTGAATCGGTGAGTGAAAGAACAGTACAAGTGCCAAAAACGGTAATTTTAACTGGATTGGCAAATTGTTTAAAATTCATAGGCCTATCACATAGCAAATGAATAATACACAGACCAACATCATACGAGCGATTGGGGCTTGTTCAATTTTCGGTTGAGTGAAAGAACAGTACAAGTACGGCGCATGTACTGTTTTTTCACTCAGTAGTCATGTCGTTTCGTAGACAAATTTAACACAGATTTCAAAAATTGGTGGTCGCACTTTCATAAAAAACCTCTAAATCAGCTAATGAACAAAAAGCTAATTTTGTCATTCCACAGTACAGCCAGTTTACATACACTGGTAAAACTTCTGGATATGTTACTACAAGTGCCTTCATAGGCGGTTTTCTGAACATGTTGACATGCACGCTACGACATAAAGCCGACCTGCGCAGGCATACCTGCACAGGCATACCGGCACAGGTAGGCTTCTCCGGTAGACCGTTACGTGTATACTCGCCATTAGAAAAGGCATACTCAGAAGTTGTCCCTATTAACGTAAAGAAGATAGCCAATATAAAGATACTTTTATTCTACTTTAGTGATGAAATCCTAGAGTTTTACTACCATATATTATTTCTTGGAAAGTCAAAAATGAAGATTCTGATTAAAAAATTACAAATAAGTTTGTTAGATAATAATCAATAAAGCTACAAAAAAAAATTAAAACATTTTTTTAAATTGAGTGAAAGAACAGTATAACTGCAAGTCATTTTTTTCAAATATCATATTTTGCATAATTTTATTTTTAAATTTATGTACATATTATTATCGGTTAACAAAAATTCTATAACTTCACAATACATAATTAGGCCGAATAACCCATAGTTCTCCTTTAAAATAGTTTTTTTGTTTTTCTCAAAATGGTCATTTTGGATATATATTGTTCTTTCACTCACCGATTCAATTTATGTTTTAGGTTAAACGAGTTGTTGTCATTACAAAACAAACTGGTATCGTCCACAAAACTAACGATTTTGCTATTTATTGTAATATTATTTAAATATATATTAAAAAGTATAGGTTTCAATATCGTTCCCTAAGACACTTCTCATGAAATTTATTTTCCATTACTGTAAGTATCTTTTAGTTTTTATTTTTTATATCCTATTCATTGAATAATTATTGAATAGGACACGTGAAATACATACAAAATATACTATCAAGACTATTTGTTTTCCTAAAGTAAAAAAAAGACCCTATAAAGTATCCTCCACATGCTTTGACTATGCCCAAAATTTAATCAGCTCACCGCAGGATGGATTAAAGCTTAAGTATAAAATTTGGTGTTTTTCTTTTTATCTTCAATAATCGAAATTTGCACTTTTCCTTAAATATCTCGAATACGGTCCATTTTAGGAAAATCATGTATAATACAAGAATTATATAGAATGACATCACAAGCATTTTTATCATGATTCATATACTTACTTATCTGTATACAGAAAGGTATATTTTATAAATTGTATTTAAAAAAAAATACAATTCATTCTGGGCGAAGGTCGACCTTACTTCGTATCCTGTACTATTATGTAGTGTCTCTAATGGGAATATATTCTAGTTCCTGAAATAGTTTTTATAACAATTTTTTATGCTTTTTTTATGTTAAATTTTCATAATTTCGTTTTCTCCATTTTCTCAGTTTTTGCATTCAATATATTCAGGAACTAGTTCAATACCAATAGAATATTATAAAAACAAATTGACATAAATTTATTTCCTCTCTTATATGTTGAAAAATTCTATGCTTTTTTATGCTTACACTGGTAAAAATTTACAGAGTTTTCATTTCTCAGCTTGTAAAAGTGTAGAATCCCCAGAAGTCCCGAGTTGCGAAGATATCTGTTTTTTACCAAACTGTCACTTTTTTTTAAATGCCCATCTATTAAGGGCCATTTTGGATGGCAAATTTTATTACTAATCTGACAATATGCTCCATGCACCACTTCCAGTACATAGCCTTTTACCTCAAAAAGAAAACAATGAAACAATTTTTTTTTAAATTTGACGTAAATGTCATATTTATGTAATTTGAACAGTAGATTCCAAAAAATATAAAATATGCACTGTGATATATTTAAAAAATCAAACCCAATCACATTTGTCCCAAATTTGGTCCAAATTGTTTCCTAAATAAAAGAGATATTATTAACGTGGCTCTGGTTTCATTGTTACCCGGTATATCTCAACTATCCAAATTGACATTCTTTGGATTATTTTAAGACAATTTTTTTTAAATCTTCGCAAAATCAATTAGGGTAAGATACTCGAGAAATAAATGATTAAAAAAAACTTCGTATATTATGGATAATATGGCGGCAGTTTCCATAATCTAATTAAATACGGTTCTCAATATGAAACTTTTCAAATCCTAAAGGCTTGTAAGGAATTTTAATCAAAGTACCCTTTCCGTCCTTCCTCTCTCTTTTCCATCGCTCCTTCGGCTCCATTGTATATTTCTCGCCGGGAGTTAATGCAACTTCAACTTCGCATTATCGATTTTCATTATAATTCGAAATTATTCAGAATAATGTTCTTTAAAGTAGCAGACTGGCCGTCCGGGACATACGGTGCCCTTAAAATTAAAAGATTTCTTATTGTAACTCATGTAATAAATTATTTTTGTTCACTTATTAGTTTATTTTTCAAAATGCCTTAGATAAATTTGAGAAACTCGTTATCTCCAATATTCTCCTTAATTATGAAATAACAAAGAACCTTTCTTATGCAAATGAGAGCATCGTCAAATTAAATGAATTACTGAGGCTCCCTTCCTATGTGGCCATTGCATCGTGTCTGCGAAAAAATTTATGAACTCCCATTTTTTGACACTCTACATTTCCGACCATCCAAAAAAAATCGTCTGGTCGTCTTTGCGTATGTGCGCCCTCACTATAACTCTAGATGCTAGTGCTGATCGACTTATGGTTTTGACTTTACTATACTATCATTTCTTAAAGCCGCACAGAACGCATTTTTTTTTCGAGCATGGCACCGTTTGCTGATTCTTATGAGAAATGATCCTCTGAATCTGAATATGCTTCCCGTTTTTCCCCATCACCCACATTTTTCTGGGGAGGCCCACCCCTCCTATTTTTATGACGTTTCCTTAATTTGGAGGAATGAAAATGATTATTTTAGCCTTTACATTTCTTTTGAGGAGCTAGAGAAGTTCTAAAAGATGAACATTTATATAAATGGATAGGTTTAGGAGGATTTACCCCCTTAAATTGAAAACATAATATAATATGATTGACATTTAGGTTCTTTCGCTATGGTTTCACTTATTTTTTACATATTTCAGTTTCCAGTCCCCATCATCTGCTCCCAATCACTCTTAAATAATAAAAATATATTATAGCAACAATATATGACAACAATATAAGTACAGCAACAATATATGTTACACTACTATTACAAATAACAACAGCTAGTAGAGTTAAAATCAGCAGGGAATTATCCAAAAATAACGATAATGATCTGAAGAGGCTTCATCACAGGCGAAGAACGGCCAGAGATATCCATAGAGGAATTGGAGGAAGCAGCGGACAAGATAAAGGAACAAAAAGAACCAAAAAGAGACGGAGTACTACCAGGTGTTCGTTAAGCATAATCCTCAGAACATAAGAATCATAAATGGATTACTGAGAGAGAATAAGAAATTTCCAATAGACTTCCAGAAGGCTAAGGTGATGTTTGTACCGAATGGCATCGCTGATACTTTATTTCGAAGATCAGATATACAGAACAATCTGACTTATATGTGGATATCCGTAAATAGGAAACCCTTTCGATTGCACATTGTTTTAACTCGGACCTTGCTTGAGAATTTTGGTTAAAAAAGTCCCTGTCAAACATTTGTCACAGGAAAAGCGGTGGAACAGATGATGTACAGTATCTTGTTAAATAGGCGAACTATTAATTTGACACGTACCTACCAAATTAGAATTTAGAAATATTCAATCGTTCCAAATATCTTACAGTACAAGAGCCCACTGGCCATCATCTGTGCCAACTCTTTTTCTGTGCCAAATGCTTAACAGGGCCTTTTTTAACCAAAATTCTCAACCAAGGTCTGAGTTAAAACAATGTGCAATCCTTTAAGTGTGCAGTCCTTTAAGGGTTTATGTTCCCATATCAAAATTAATTAATTAATGAAAGCTGTCTCTTAGAGCGTTGTCGGTCGAATATACACCTCATGCAGAATTATGATGAAAACATATCTATATACAACTTATAAATAAAGACACAAAAAAATACAAAATACTTGGAAAAAAGTATAAGAAAATAGCAAATTTAAAGCTCGTTATTTAATCTATCGTTTATTTAAAAAAATAAATAATCTTTTTACTTTTTTGTGTCCTTCTGTAGTTTTTTTTTTAAATTATTAAATGGTTTTCATTATATTTCGTTGAGAGAAAGTTCTATTTGTCTTTTAAATTTTACAAAAGTTTCATTTAAAATTTTGGTGCCTGCAATGTGTAACTTCTTTATCCCATTGCTTTATTTTTGAAAGATAATTGAAAATGGTCTTTGTATCTTCTTGTATATTAGTAAGAAACTTCAAGTGCGTGATACCCCCATTCCAGTGATTCTAGATTTCATAGTTATCTAAAAATGTATGCTTCTAAACGTCAATAACAATTAAAAAATCTCTGCAAGCATTTTCTGTTGTTCAGTTTTGCTTCTTTCGATGTAGGATATTTATCTTTTTCATCGAAATTTGACATATAGCTTAAATGTGTTTTTTCTGAATCTAAGATGATATTGCAAGCATTTTTTGTGTGGGTGAAAGGGTTAATATACAAAAAAAAATTGCACCTGGTGAAAAATGATCTATTTTATGAAATAGTTGTAAAATTGGAAACAAAAGTCGAAAAATTGCTTTCAAAATGTTTGTATGACTCTTAACTAAGAGAGTATGCTTTTGCAAACATTTTTTATTAAGTAGTTTTACCCCATTCGCTATAAATTAGACTACTTTGACAATCATAAACAGGTGACTTTTTATTTTTTAAACTGTGAATTGTATATCTTACTTCTGTTTCGGAAAGAAGGATTTGTGATTAATATTTTTGTTGTTGTTGTTGTTGTTGTTGTTGTTGTTGTTGTTGTTGTTGTTGTTGTTGTTGTTGTTGTTGTTGTTGTTGTAACTTGGATCTTTTTTATTTTGTTTTCCGTCAGTATTTACAAAGAAATTATTAAAAGTTTTTGTAATTTCTCCTGGATTTGTCCTTCGTCATCAGTATCGTTTTTAATATTGCAAATTTTTTTCCTGTCATTAACTTTTAACATTTTATTATTGGTTTTCCAAAGTTTTTCAGTTATTTTGTTCCATTTCGTATCTCATCTAATAATATGCTTTTGTTGCGTCATTTATTGTATTCTCCGTTTCATTTTTAAATGTGATGTAACATTTTCGATAATCTGATTTTCTATTTCTTTTTGAATTTAGGTATAAATTATTTTTTTTTAATATTTTTATTAACTATTCTGTTATTTTTTTTACGTTCGCTATTTTTTGTTTTAATACGTTTAGCTGAGTTTTGTTACAATTTCCTATTATTTTGATAAAATTTGTCAGTTTCAAAATTTTGCGTTGGATGAAGTTCATTTTCACTGTATTTGCGTCATGTATTGAGCCAATCAACTTTTAAAAAATAATTTTTTGAGACATTTGTTTTCGACTGACTATATTTGGATACTTAGGTAATAAAATTTGTAATAATATTATATAATGATATATAATTTTAGTTGATATTATTATGGGGATGACTGTTTCGTAATAATATACATATATCTTACTTAAAAAAGTAGTAAATTGTTTGTGATCGTTTTTTTCTTTCCACCTACCCCACAGTTCTCTCGCTAAAGTCGAGCAATTTCTTTTATCCCTTTCACCGAAATGCACCACCGTCGGCGGGCGGCGCGGCGGTTGAGACCGAAATAAAAAAAGGGTGCACCTTCTTTCACCCTTGCCTATTTTTTATTCCGAATATATCGATTCGAAGGTCAATGCCACTATTACTACGATTTTCGTGTCTTGCCTAGAATGGGTACGAGGTGATCAATTTTTTTTTCGGTGATTGATAACCGGATAAAAAGGGATAGTGCGGAAGAATGAGTGTGCAGACGAGAGGTAGGTGGGTTAACATTGTAGCTATTTGTCAATGAAGATCGTCATGATTATAGAGTGGCTGATTATTTTTATATTTTCTTGGAAAATATAGGAATGATTTTTTTTCGACCTTGAATTTTCGACGGATCTTTATGTTTTGAGGTGCCATGAATCTGTTTTGACCGTTTTTGCGATGATGAATTTTATAGTAAAAATGTCGGCAGTGTCAGTTGTGTGAAAAGAACGTTCCATAAAAACCCTAAATAAAGCAGACACAAAGTGCACGTAAAAATTTGAAATATATACCAAACGACGCAGAAAAAAAGAAGATTACTGTGAGTAGAAAAAAATTTCTAATAATTACTGAAAACTGCATTTATTTATACATTTACGCAAAATTCTTTTGAGATCTTTAATAAATCAACAAAAACTAGTACTTGTCGATGATTCGATATCAGTATTATAAAAATGAGCAATATGACAAATGATGAATTATTGGAAAAAAATGATTTAATGTTTGATAAAAAATTGGTTCTTTAAAAAAATATATAAAAGAAGAAATAAAAAAATAAGTGAGTTAGCAGACTGCAAAGTAGAGAAATTAGAAAATAATATCGAATATCTTGAGAAGCAGTTAAATTATATAGAACGAGCTAATAAATAAAAACAACATCGCTATCTTTGAAATTAAGGCCGAAAAAAGTAAATTACTTGAAGCAACTTTAAATGCATTAAACCAGGTCTTGGGGGAAAATTACATAGACTCGGGACCCATTATTTTACAATTCATCTCTTACAAAAGAAATAACTTTTTGAAGGTCTCCACAAGTTTAAAGGAACTGGAATATCCATTACTAATAATCTAAATCCGAAAAGCAAAAATTATTGGTATATTTCTTAAAAAAAGCCAAATCTAAACTTTGAAAAAATAGCTTAGAACTGTTGTCTCCCAGTTGTAGTTTAATAAACACAAAGTAAACATTTTTGATTGTACTAAACCCATTATTGAAAACTTATAAATTTTTTTAGTACATACTTCGTTGAGGCAAGTAGTATAGAAAATGTGGAAACGAATGATGATTATAAAAGTAGGTAAAAACAATGTAATAAGCAACCGAAGTTGCAGTGTACTAGAAGTAGAATTTCCCAAGGTATCTTCTAAAAAGTAAGTTTTCACTTCTTTTACAAAATTAAATTATATCAATCTACGTCCTGCACTAGTGTGAAAGCTTAACTAGATGGAGATTTCTAATACTATATGAAGAAAAGCCAGACACAAGTAACTACATGCATGTGGATGCTAGTATCAAGAAAACTAGGTCTAATAAAAAAGACCAAGCTTAGACGACATACTCTAAAACAAACGGAGTCTTACAATAGATCTGAAAAGGTCGCGGTGGACACGGACAAATAATGTACAACTCCTTTTAAATCTAATATCTAATCTACCCTTATTTTTGACAAAAGCGTCGTGACATACCACTCATATTTTGGTAAGCCCTTTTTGTACAATTAGCTATCGCATCGGAATTTTTAATCATTTTTACATAAAAATCGTCAGTATTCTAAGAAATTCTTCATGTATTCGTTTAATTGGGCATTTAGAAGCAAATTGATATGAAAATTCCACACCTGTAATTTTGAACCAATCAAAATACGTGTTTTTGACAGATCACCATGGCAACGGAGGTATTTTAGTGGAAATTTTTTTCTCGTGGGGTACCCAACAGCGAATTATACTGGAAATTTTTTGACGTTTACAATAACAGACCATTTTTGACAGACTGGTTTTTATTTGTTCACGTAATAGGTTTAGTTTTGATACATTTTAGTTACAATGCTAAGGTGTTTTCTATATTCTTCGGCCACTTCTTTTCTTCTTAATGGCGAAAATGCAGGACTTTGGATGCTTTGAATTATGTGTCTATGTCTAATAAAATATATATAATATTTAGACACTAATTTATTCACCTTTTTCCCATTCAGCACTTTGAATTTTGCGTAGTTTAGGTGCAAATATTCGTGGACAATTCGGAACAAATTTTCGTTTTTCAAGTTGGAGCCACAATCCTCTATTAATCCGAGTAAGTAAGTCATGGTGCAATGATTGATCATTACATCAGACAATTTCACGCATATTTTGCATAGCGTATGATTTTCAAATCGATTCATTTCTAAACAAATAGGTAATTTTGTTGGTTTTACTTGTTGTGCAATATTCTTTATCGCAACAAAACGCGAGTTATTTAATGTTTTGAACTGTCAAAATACAATGATCACAGCCTCCTACGATTGATGCTTGCTGACGCTGGTTATGAATTTCATACCATTTTAAAGCACTTGTAGTTATTCAAAACTTACGTAAAATTAAAGAATATACTATTTTCTATTTTCAAATGGTATTCCCATGCAACTACAATGAGTAGAAATAAGCAATTTGAAGGCCTAAATAATTGCAGCGAAACATTTTTTTACGTCGGGCCGCTTGACAACTTCAAAACTGAAATTA